CGCGCATATCTTACGCACCATGGCTGCATTAATGTGCGTGACTTCGGTAATAACAGTGCGAATCGATTACCCAAAATATGTGGGAGATTTTATATTTCATTCCTATTGACGTACCTATTGATTCTAAGAGTATAAAATGTGTGTGCGTGGCGTGTGCATTTGTGTGTGTGTGTGTGTGTGTGTATGGGGATATGGTTGCTTATGTGTGTTTTATGTAGGTACGAACATCGCACTAAAATATTGAAGATATGTAATAAAAACTATAATTAATGTAACAGTTAAAATAAATAAAAAAGCACAGTAGATGTTTATGTATGTAACATATATTTATAATCTATTATTACTAAATGTATACAGACTACTACACTTTTGTACTGTAGAACACAAAATATTGCCGCTTTTTACGAAGACATTAAATTATTTTGCAATCCTAAGTAAAATGACGAAAAAAGTAAGTTTGGTTAAGCGTAAACTTCAGCCAAGAGATAGCAAAATGTTTAATTTCTTTAAATTGGTTCGTTCCGTTGCTGCGTGAAGGACAAAAACAAATAAAAAAAATCACACTTTCACAATTGTAATATTATATTAATATGAATTGTCAAGAATGATAGATAAACTTTTAAAACCGGTTTACAATCGGCTTTTTGAGGGTAGAACCTATACCGGTTACTACTATAACGGTTCTGAGTGACCAAAAAGGATAGAAGCACAGGAAAGTGCAATTGCTGCCAGATGTAGTTCAACCCTAACCCTCAAAACGGTTTAACTCTATAGGTTGGGTAAAATCTGTAAAATTAGACTGTTTAAAACCCCTATACAGATAACCTTTGTGGTTGATCATGACATTAAAAAATGGTAAAAACATTTCATAGACTAGGCAACACTCGAATATTATTGCGCAGTATTATTACTTGTATTGACATTTAGCTTTCGTATTCTTTTACAAAGAAATACACCATAAAATTGTATAGTTACTTATGAAAAGTGATGTTCTTATCCTTATCTTTTTTCCAAGAGTAATTTTTAAATGATTTCACAGCACAAACAGTCATTTTGCGAAATTAAAAACACTGGTGCGTGACGTATGTTCACAGCGAACGTCGCTGGCGTAATGGCGGAACGATCGAACGAATACGCCAATATTGGCGCCTTTGAAATGGAAGCGTTTTAGGCGCGCGTACACGGTATCTGGACCTATAAAACATCTTTGCGTGTATGTTACACAAATTAACAACACAACAAATTAGAAATAGCTTGGTAGCGATCACCTTATTTCCGGAGGTTATTATCATCCATAAATTTTTTAATATTATAATAACCCTTTTTATACAAACTTAGTTTAATAAAGTTTTTGAACTTTGAGCAGGTCAAATTTTGTATATTTTCTGGAATTTTGTTGTAAAAGCGTATACATCGCCCTAAGAGTGAATTACTGACTCGATGGAGTCGAGTAACTGGTACCACTAGCTTGTGTCTGTTCCTAGAAATTACAGAATGTAAAACTACTATTATTTTTGTGTACGTACATCACATTTTCATAAATGTATTGAGAGGCCAAAGTTAATATATTAATTTCCTTAAATTTTTGTCGCAGCGACTCTTTAGGCTTTAAATCTTAAATTGCTCTTATGGCCCTATTCTATAAAACAAATATAATATCAGTGTAAGCTGCGTGTCCCCATAGCAAAATACCATACGACATTATGCTATGAAAATAGCTAAAGTAAACTGGTCTAATAATAGTCCGCGACAACATACGAGTATATCTATCTTCTAAGGATAACGCACTGTAATTATTTTTCCATAAAAACACGCGCGATAAAATAATTTGAGTGGCGGTCGGCGCGGGGTGACATATTGGCCTGCTAGAAAATGCAAATTATTTTAACCGGAACAAAAAGTGGTATTACTAAATAATTATTTAGTATAGATAATAGTTTAACCCGGGCAAACCCGAGGCCAGCCGCTAGTTAAATATTAAAAGATTAATACTAAATACAAACAAACAATTATGTTAAAATTTTTATATTAATGAATTATTTTTATAAATTAAATTTTTATAATAAATGATCAATAATTTATTTCCGTAACTGATACTTGTTCATGTTATCATGAGCTGGTATAATTAGCCGATGAAAAGTATCTTGACGCTCTTCCTCGTCAATCCGCGCGGCGCCTGCGCGACCACGTGCCGCAACCGACAACGACACCCTGTCGCCCTGGCCTCCGGTACGTTGTGAGCGCCGCCCAGAGGCTAGCGCTAACTAACGTCGTTTCACCAGCGGGGTGTGGGGGTGTAGGGGGTGGACCGAGTGACCGTCGGCCGGCGCCCCGCCGCCGCCGTCAGTGCCCGCCGCTGGTCGCCGCCACCCGCACGTACCATGTGACCACGCAATGCCGTCCGCAGATGTGCCGTTCGACGGCGACGCTTTTACAATCGTCAGCAATGAACGTACGCAACCAGTACCTGATATACCTGCCCCGAGCAATGTGAACGTGGTACGCCCCTTGACTCGTGCGCCCCCAGTGCCTGTAGATTCGCGCACGGCACTAAACCCCAAGTTTTCTCGCGCTTTAGACTTTAAACTTCGCCGTCTGAAAGAGAAAGAACTTCTAGAGGCGAATCTGCGCCGCCCGGTGAGACCTCGCATCACAATGGGGGCGCTGGCCGCCTCCGATTGCAATATCTCCCATATCAGCCCGCGAGAAAGGGCTCGAGAAAAGTCTAAGAACCGATCTCATCCACAAATAAACTCTATTTCGTCACGGGAGAGGACAAAGATATCGCCTCGAACAGACGATAGCCCGTCGCCCAAAAGCCGGCATAAAAAGAATGACTCGGAAAAGCCAAGGTTTGTCACAACGGTTAAAACTGGACAGTTTCTCCTGCCGCCACCACAACTTGCGTATCTGTTAGGCCTTGATACTCTTTATCCTCCGCAAGAAAGGGAGAAGATAGTGTACTCTTATGCGAGTAAGCCGAAAGCCGTGTCGACGCGTTATAAACGGTCTATTCCAGAGAAAAAGGAGAATAAATTACCGAATGGAAACCTAAACGCTAATGCCTGCGGGAACCGAATCAATCATGGTGAGGCCTTCCGGGGGGTTCGCGCGTTGATCGCCAGTGTGGCCGGCATGAAACAAATGCTTGAAGAACACGATAGCGCGTATGTTCCATTATATTTTGGCTTTATAATAAATATATTATACAATAATTATTATAAATACGAATGGAAAACTCCAAAGGCTTACAAATATCTACCAGTAAAACCTTTGGAATACCCAATGTCAAATTATATAATAAAACTTTTCAGAACGCGGTTTTAAAAGATTTATAATATTTGAACTATTTAATTTATATGTAACGTTCTGGGCACCACCTCAATAAAAAAAATTATGTATTTGATGCAAAAAAACAGACTCAAAATTGCTATATTCTTCCCAATATAGAGAATATCCAACATATGCTAGCAGAACGTGGCAAATATCAAAGGCAAAGGGAGAATTTTGCGAATAAACTTAATATAAATATGGGTGAAATAGGTTGGTTTTTAAGAACAAGGTATGGTACGACAAGGCTGACATATCCTTGTAGGATAAAAGCCTTTTTGCGTAAAGAAAGATAATAAAAAGAACTAAATAACATTATTTAATTTTTGTATTTTTAAGTTTCTCTACAACTAGAATAGGAAAAATTAAGAAGTTAAATACGATTTCAAAGCCAATTGTAAAAGTTCAGTTGCACGCAGAATAAGTAAATGTGAATGAAAGAGCAAAGAGGGTTGATATTGGGGTCAAGCGGCGAGTAATGACCGCCGCGGCTACACGGCCTACTTACCGCGCACCACCCCACCGGTTCACTACGATATACCCTATGACTATTCATTTACATCTAGCCTCATTAGTAACGAATCTTTTTGAACTATATACCAACGTAAAATACCAGCTCAATGCTGCTATATTTCGTATGGTGAGAATAGGGAACCTGAGACCCTCTTTACTGTTACCGAGTAATTCCATCTTAATCCTCAAGGGTGATAAGGCATCTGCATTTTATTTATTTATTTATTTACACACACACATACACACACACACACACACTTAACAACTATCCTTACAGGCTAAACAAACCCAATACGACAGTGTCACTAATTTACTTAAATATACTATGTATTACAACTAACTTACATAACTAACTATGTATAAAAGTACCTTAGCGAGTTCACTCAGATTACTCGAAAATATGTCAATCCTCTCATGAACTTTATTTTGATTCTTAACCGAGGATATATGTAGATGTCTACGGACTACAGTATTCACTTACCATCAGATGGACTGTGTGCTCGTTTGTCATCCTAATTCTATAAAGAAAAAGGTCTTAATGGCATGCAAATAACCCCTTCAATGCAATAGAAGCATGTGAATAGATTTATACGTGGTAGAGCCATGTTGCAGCTATATTAGTAGTATAGTTATAGCACGAATGGGTCGGCTCGACGGGGTAGGACCACGCTGTCACAGAATACCAGCGTAAAATGGCAGCTTGACACTGCTGTGTTTCGTGTGATGAGTGTAGAGAATCGGAGACCCATTTTACTGAAAAAGAGGCATTCCATCTTAGTCCTCACGGGTGACAACGCATTTGAATTTTGATTCTTTATTGAGGATAATGTAGATGTCTATGAGTCACAGCAACCACTTACTATCAGGTGGACTGCGTGCTCGTTTGTCACCTTTCCTATAAAAAAAATGCATGTACCAATGTATATGTAGGTTCCTTAGGTATCTTAAGTACCATGCTTATATGCAAATAAATTAATTAATAGAATCAAGCGTTACTTTGCGGAAATTCATTATATTAAAGAGATTAAAAATTGATTGCCTAAGATCCGGTTAACAAATTATTTTTGTTGACTCTTAGCTAGGTAATTAATTTTTTAACATCTATCTATGTATCAATTGCCTGTGAGTATATGTGAGTGTGGTTGTTGTTGTTGCAGCGAGGAGGTGGGCGCGCGCAACCTGATGCACGATCGGCGCGTGGTCCGCGGCAGCACGGTCGCGCACGTCCCGCACGTCCCGCACGGCCCGCACGTCGCGCACGCACACGCAGCCGTGAGTCACAAGCTTTCGTACTTAACGCCAAACACTTCTATGTGTACTACTGCCTCGTTGCTCTAGTGGTCGTAAAGGCAATTACTTATCATTAGGTCCCAGGTTCGAATCTCGGGTCGGGCCAAAATCAGTTATTGGGTTTTTTTTGGTGAGAAGTTGGCGGTGTTTCACCCCTATACCTTGGAAAGCATTACGTGCTCGCTGGTTCGTGCAGCTATTGATCCTGCGTCTAATCTCTCTCCAGTCGTTTCGGATAGTCATCCCACCGAACTATGAGAGTCACACTCGGGCACTATAATCTTTTCCTGTGCAAATGGCTAGTCTACGTTAAGACGGGCCGCCTTGACTGAAATTCTGCCTGGAGAACATTTCATTGTGTACTAAGTTACGGTCTATTCGCCGCAGCTTCTTTATTCGAATGCGAGCGGCCGAGACGATTATTTCTTTGGTATGTAAATCACAAACGTTGTTTTAGACCATGGAGCAACAAGAGCTAGTGGACTGGAAGGAAGTAGCCATAACGTTTTCCCCAGATACTAATCTGTCTATCATTTCTTGCGAGAAGAAATCTACGCATACAAAAACAATCGTCTTTCACACATAACAATTAAAAAAAAAACAATTTCACACACACATATACATTATAACAGTACGCTCGGTTATAGCGACAACTCGCTCAATCGTATGAGGGCGAGCGGCCTATGTGGGTAAACAAATCCGAAATAACACGACCGTTATTATTATAATTTTATGTGTAAAAATAACTAAATAGCATAGCAATAATGTGATTAAAAATTACTTAAGTATGAAAGGTAACGCGTTTTTGTAAAAATGAGGTGACAGGTCTCTTTTTGCAGCAAAAAAAACTAAACAATTCGACAATTTTATAGGACGTCGAACTGTCACTATTTATGTGAGCACTTTGTCTACGTGATTTGAAGTTTATTTCAGATAAATATGTAAGTTTATTTCGTATTTGCCTAAAAACTAACTAGGAGCTTAATACTTCCGTGTTTTTATGATGAGTGTAGAGAACTGAAGGCCCCTTTTTACTGGGAACGAGGCATTTTATCTTTATCCTTAAGGGTCACAACGCATCTGCATTTTGATTCTTAATTGAGGATAGATGTAGATGTCTATGGGCTGTGTGCTCGTTTGTTACTCTATGTCTACATAAAAAAATAGAGTTTAACGAAATTTTTACTAATCCAAGTGCATTTTATAAATTGGTCGACTATTACTCGTTAACTTCTTAATTCTACTTCGCTGTGAAAAATTTCCTTTTAACTTCATTATATATACTACTGTCGTGTATACTTTTTACATTTCCATAAGCATTAAGCAGCATTTAGTTGGTAGAGGGGGGAGGGGCGTGGGACACACGTAACTCCAATGAAAAATACCATTTTAAAGCTAAATATTTCGCAAACGGACCCTTGAATTGTAAAGATGTTGTTCCGCACCTCCAGTGTTTTTAAAACACGTATACAACGATACCCCACATTATGTAATGGACGGATAAAAAAATAATCATCCTACATTACCTACATTTACTTATATGGGAAGTATCTAAAATAAAAATGTTGTTAAAGATTTTATTTCACAGTTTTGTAGGCGCGATTTATATATATATGTGTGTGTGTGTGTGTAACTACGGAACCCTAAAAAGGTGTTGCGTATGGTAAATGACGAGAACCGGAGATCCCTTTTATTGCTGAAGAGGCATTCTATCTTAGACCCCAGTGGCGATAATATTGTATTTTCATCCTCTGTAGAGGATGCAATGTCTTTGGGCTACATCACCACTTAACATCAGGTAGATTTTCTACTCTTTAATCACCCTTCCCTCTATAAAATAGCAGGAAATGTTGAGTTTCTGGTTTCCTTCCTTTGCAGCCATCTGGTATGTAATGATGTTGTGTAATTATGTAGCCATCCTAAACTGCGATTGGTATCTGCCACGTTACATATGTTTTGAAATTCTGTACATATCACATGAGCTTTGTTAATATCCGATTTACACCGCATTTCTATATTTGAAAAATGCTTCGTTTTACCTTATGAGCCATTTTACGGCATATAAAGTGCACTCGTTTAATGCAAAACACTGGTTCATTATCTTACGAACCACGTGAAGTGGTTCCATTTTAAGTCATCTAAGTTTTCGAACTTTGTAATGAGAATCCTTTTTACATGAACCTTTTATGTAATAAAACGGATCGTCATAGAGAACGAAGCGTTTCTTGAATAAAATAATCAGCCATAAGTCAACAGCTTCTGTCTATAGTCATGATTATAACAGTCCATCCTTATTCTACTCCCACGAAGTGCCATTTTAAACCATTTGCATTCATTGTGTACTCAGAGATAGATGCATTTGTCAGTTTGGACTTTATCTCTTTAGATGCCTATGTGAGTTAAAATCTTCCATTTACTGCTGTAATGAAACACTCCTAACGCAAACATTTTAAGCCTACTTGGAGTTAATTAAACTATAACTATTTGTTGTTATTGATAATGGCGTTGCGCCCACGCATGCTCACCGCCCTAGCCGCGCTGAGGCCAAGCTATGATTTATGAGCCCAACTGCACGGACAAAATAATTTTACTATAGGTTTTACTTAAGCTTTCCGTCGTTTAGAGTAGTTTACAGCACTCAAGGGTTACAACTGACCCCGTGATGGGAGATTGAGGTGTTCGACGTTCCAATGTCATAGTAAACCAGTCAAAGGTTGCCCTTCAGTTTATAAGTATTAATTTTTTAACCGATCTACACCTAAGAGTTTATATTATCTTAAGATCTTGCAGTGGTGTGCTTGGGTCGGGATTAAATTTTATTATTTATAGGATCTCAAGCAAAAGGTAGCACCCGGCCATCTTCTCTACTGAAATTAGGATGATTTTGATTTCAATAGCCTCGCGAACTATCCTTGGTAGGAATCGGTGTTCTTTTGGAAAGATTTGTGGTCTATCAAATATATGTGTGGACTATCAAATATAATGGCGAGGGCGACCCTGCACGTGTTCACAGAATGCAAATTTCCCGGGTGTCGATTCTTCATATCTTATACGTCCTCTTATACGTCCTCTTATACGTGAGTTTTTATTTATCTTTTAGTTTATCTCATTTAAGAGAGACCATATTCACAATGAAGCTTGTAGACTCCTGCATCTTATCTCATTTTATTGTTTTTAGGAAAACTTACAGTTATTTACAATCATTTGTTTTATACATTTATATAGAAATTAACTATTGGTAATTTTTTTTTAAAAGGGTAAAGTCGCATGCTAAGAGAGTTTGCGATAAAACTAGGCAACAGTTATCTTTTACCCTAACGTAATATGATAAAGACTTTTAATAATATTCCTCGTAACAATTAAGAAACTCTGTCGCCAAAATTTGTACTATTAAAGAATATATCAGTGCTATCACTCATTGAATTAAAAAGTCTGCAAGTGCTAACAATGTATGCATGTTGTCGATAGTTCGTACGTACCAACAATGGAACGTAAAAATAATGATACGTACGAACAGCGAGTTTAATATGTTCAAAAGTTGATGTGAATCTACTGTGCCGTTTGGTATCTTAGATAAGTATGCTATGTCGCAAACATTCCTTTAAATTTGTAAAGGAGTAAGTGATGTCTTATACAACGCGCCTTATATGTACTAACATAAACTTTCTTTTCTATTTTTGTTTTTGTTTACAAAACATTAACTCCACACTAAGATTATCTCCTATATCGTGGGGGCAGTTTGCATATATAAATTTCACAAAGACAAACATCTTTGTTCCGTGCGGGACTCGAACCCGCGGCTCTTAGCGCGGCTCGTGCCACAGAGCGTCAACTTGGGTTTTATACTCTAAATATTTCAAAAATGCATTTTGAATTGACTCCACGTTTTATATATACCTTGCAGAGGGATTAAGCGGAACGTCCACCGCAAACTAAACTAACTTCGTTTATCTTAGCTTGCATAACTGAGCCATCTTTTCATGCATACATAGCTTAGCTGGCATAGTTTGCGATGGACGCACATGTATGAAAAACTGGTTCAGCTATGCGAGCTAAGATAAACTAAGTTAGTTTAGTTTGCGGTGGACGTGACTGAAGAAAATATTCGTAATTTATTATCTATTATAATTTGTTTGTTCGTATTTTATGGGCTGCCAATCAAATTGCGCTAAAACTTTGTCAACTTATTGCTTGCACTGGTGCGGAGATTATAGGCATAGTTCTACGAACTTACTATAGGTGGCTTGCGTATCGTACCAACAAATTTATTTGAAAGTCATGCATCTTTCAACTTCAATGAATGTATAATATTCCTAATTAAATAATATAACTCTTCGAAATTTAAAACGGTATTTCGATAATTATTTTTTTCTGTGGCAGCAACGCGCCGGGTACCAGCTAGTAAATGATAATTTTAACTAGTCCATCAAAGATGTAATGGCGGGGGCAGTCCTGTACGTAATTAAACGTAGTAAAATCCGTACAAGCTAGTTTCATTCAATGGGTAGTGTACGCGTAAATATAAGAAATCGTTATAATTGTCTTGTAATAGTTAACGGGAGTTTTAGATAATGTAAATAGCGTTAAAAAATATGTGCAGTCGCTTGTAGCCGAATTTGACATACTTGTGGGCGTATGCATCTTTACACAAGATGTTGTAGCTCAAACGTACCTGATTTGACATAATGAAGTCACTGGTACGCGCTGCCGAATCCTGTTTTCCAATTAGCATTCAAGCACACGACAAGTTAATAAGTCTGCCTTCTAATATCATGTCAATACAACATGCATCACATTGATATTTGCTGAAGTAGTTTAAAACTTAAACATCCTTGCTGTAACATCTGTTGGACATGTTTTATTGTGGCCAAGTGGGAAGAGTCTAGAACTAGCCGCCTTGTCGCAATACGCGCGATACGCGTAAAGAACCACATTTCAATTAGTTTTATAGAATAAGGGTGACAAAAGAGCACACAGTCCAC